GTTTGAAATTTCTTTAAAATACATTCAAAATGTTTAAAAATAAACTACAAAAATTAGTTTAAAGTGCAAATTAAAATATAATTGTATCTGCAACTGTATTTGATAATGTTTTGATCTTTTAAAATATTGCATAGCAAAAAAAGAAGCTGCACTTTATATTGGTGACAAACTTTGGTGTTTTTTGATGAGTTAGTTTCATTTTTGCTTCTACTTTTCATTTGCCCAAAGGTTAAGAATCTCTGTGGGGAAATGTGCCCACCACTGTTGTCCTGCATATTTTAGTTGTTTTTCAGAAGCCTGTTAATCACCTTTTCATTCAAATCAGGTGTACTGAAGTCCAGAAATATTTAAAACATGTAGAATTGTGGCCCTCGAGGACCAGGATTTAGGACCACGTTTCTATACAGTTTGCCAATCATAAACACGAAGCTCCTTACAAGATGGCTACCAAAAATTTCGCCTAGCGCCATCATTGGTCTTCTCAGGGCGGTAAGTCGTGCAAAGAAGATCACGTCGCGCTCTCCTGCAGCCAATCATCGCCATCCTCTCTCAACGACGTCACCAAACTTCCCCAGACTAGGAAGCTGGAAGTTTCTGTTTAAAGTTACGACACAATTCGACTCCAGTCCAAACCACGGGTTATTTGTTTGTAAAAAGAATAATACAAAAGAAAAAAAATCAAAGACGAAAAGAAGATTTTTCTGCTGTCAATTAAGGAGCATTCTTTGTGAGAAGACTTTCTGCGAGTAGGTAAACAGAGAGCAGGAGGGGGGCAGAACCGAGGTCGGTCGAGAAGTGAAGTCGCCACATCAGTTTACCGAAGATGTTAGCCTCAAGTCTTCCGGCTAATTATTGTAACGAAGTCCATCACGATGACCCGGCACATAAAGTGAGTAGTGATGCGGAGCAGTGYACTCACGGGGTTTGTTTTAGTGTGTTTGTTGTCAGTAAACGTGTGAAAGTAACTGGTGAATACTGTTGAAATAGGTACTAGCTTGGCTACTAGCAGCAGAGTATCTGAACTACAGAGACTGGTCCAATATCTGTGTCAACCTCAGGTGTCATTCTAGGCCATAAGGTCAGGGTCATTCAGTATCAAAAYAACAAGCTTTACATTTTAAATGTCTGTGTTTAAAGTATTGTTTGCTCAGTSTTTGATTTTATCAGTCAGTTTTACGGTTTTCTTTCAGGCTACCTAATAGGGCAGGGTTTTTATTGCTGAAGACATGATGGTGTATCAAATTTGACTTGAATAACATGTAAAATCATAGCCATTTGTTCTGAAATTTATTTAGGTACCAAATATTGCTCAAGCTCCTGCTTTATTGACTCTCACACTGTCAAGACTTTCTCATAGATTTGAAGCAATTTCCAGTGCTATTTTACCAAGGCAGGATGCTGACACTTAGCTGCAATTTCCTCTCCATTCTGATTCCCAGTGTCCACATTTGATTGGATCTAATAGACCCTTTTGACAGCAGGCATTTTGACTTGTCACAGAATAATAAGCACTATGACGTTAATAGGAAATGAACGCTTTTCATTTAATGCCATAGTAGGTATTGCTCAGACTTGGTCCTGGGGACCCCCCCTGTCATAATTATTCCAGACATTTTCTTGTTTCAACGTGTGTTGTTGAAATGAGCGGTCAGCTTGACATTAAGCTCTGCAGCAGCCAGAACATGACTAATTCATTTTAATCAGAAGTGCTTGTGCCCAGAATACATCTAAAGCATTCATGGTAGTGGCTCCCACGGGCCAGCACTGTGAAGGACTCCAGTAAGCAGTGACAGTAGAGCAGCAGGAGCTCCTCTGCATTATTAATAATGTGTGCCTTTTTTTTCTTCTTTTGGCTACATGTCAGTTTGTGCAGTGAGAAACTTCTGTTCTTGATTATTCACTGTCAGTGATGCAAAAGCACTCTGTGCTCTTCCAGAAAAAATAAAAATAAAAATCTCACATCTAGCAAATGAAAATGTGTTTTTAAAATTATACAAGTTGGAGAGGTGGCGATTAACACAACAAGCTCTGAGGTATTCTGATAAAGACATGACTAATCTAATTGGCTGAATTTATGAATAATTTCAAAGTCTGTACTTTATCTGTAGTTCAAAGACTAAGGATGTTCAACATGCATTTGATATTTATTCAGAAATAAGCATAATTTAGTCAACTTTGACTTTGTATAATGAAATTTATATATGTTAGGGCCTTTGCAGTATGCATGAACAAATTTATTGGTACCCTTCCACAATAACAACAACGATAATAATAAAAACAAATTATATTTGCAATTTGCAAGCCCTCAAAATTTGGGACTGATGAGACAAAACTGGAAAAGTTTGGGTCACAAGCTTATGTGTGTAGATCATTCACTGCTTATCAGTTTAAAAAAAGAAATAAAATATACCATGGGCCATTCATAGAAACATTTTCTGACCTGTCAGATTCCCATTCTGTCCCAACAAAATCATTTCACTGCGTATTTCTCCACACTTCAACTTACCCCCTTGTATTTGTAAGGAACACAGTGAGCTGCAAGATTGCTCACAGCTTACCTTGTTGCTGGGAACTTGGTGACTTCGTCAGTATACGTCTGTAAACATTTGGACAAACTGTCACTACCACTTATGGAACTGGTGAATGTTCATTCTGTTTTATTTTTTTCTGAGTGGACAAAGGTACAAGCAAAACATAAAGATACACATAATTAGGGTTGGGCAATATTGGCAAAAAATTTAATCACGATTAATTGTGGTATTTAGCCGATAACGTTTAATTTGACGATTAATCCTCTGG